TGGCGCCGGGGTCCGGATTGGGGGGGAGGGCGCGCGGCTGCATCTAGGAGCGGGAAGTGAGAGTGGAAACCAGCTTGCTTCCATTGTCTGGGGTTGGACCGGCCGACTTGGAGGCGGGAGGGAGATTGCGTCGCACTTTCTCGCCTTTTCTGCGGCTTCCCGGCTCCCGCCGAACTTTCCCAGCTGTTCTCAGGGGCGCGGCGGCGACGTGTCTGCTCCCGGCAAGGGGCGGAAGTTCATCCCGGAGCCGCCTGCCTTTCTCTCCCCAGCCGGTCCCTGTTGGAACCAGGGCTGCGGGAGGAACCCAGTAGTCTTCCTCCAGAAGACCCTTGCATTTGTTAGCACGGGACCATAGACCCCCGGATCGTTCTATGTGGCAGATAATGGGGCCTCGCTGCCCTCTCTCCATCCCCTGACTACCCCTCGGGATGAGACAGATGGTGGCCACGCCTGGGGAGAGATCTGGATTGGTATTTAACCCTTAGGAGCGAGTCTCCCCATCTGTAAAGTAGGAGTGATAATTATGGTCACTCCCTAGAATGGCTGGAGGGCCCCAAGTAAAAGAAAAACCTCCCTGCATGGCTTATGACATGTAGTAGGTGCTATATTCCTGTGGGTTCTTTTTTTCTTCCCTCCCTCTACCCCCAGAGAGCTCACAATCTAATGGGGGTAAAGGAGACAGACACATAAGCTGATTTGCATTCCAGGCGTCTCTGTTCTGGGATCATGGCAGAGAAGTGAGTGGCCATCTAGTAGGGCTTCAAAATGGAGATTGAGCAGAATCTTACAGAATAAATAAGAATATTCTGGGACAGGACACTTAGTTGTTCAAAGACTCAAAGGCAAGAAAGTGGGCAGAGGGTGGAAGCCGAGGGACCCTGAAAGCTCAGTGGGGACCCCAGAAGTGAAGAAGATTCCCAGCCAGATGGAATTGACATGGATATTGAGAGATCTGGGGAATGGCCCCGGACTGCTTTGGGGTTGGCTTGAGTTGCGGCCTTAATCCTGTAAGGGCTGCTCTGGCCTTGTGTAAGCCTCCAGCAGTAGCTGGTTTGGCCTCTTTTGCACACGTAACCGACGTAACCCTCTCTCTGATCTCGTCCCAAGTTATCCCACTAGAGGACAATTACTTCTGCTTAAAAATGGCCCTCAGCCGTGAGCCAAGACAGGAGTGGGACAGTCCAGTTGGAAGGAGTGATGTTTTTGGAAAGTTGCAGACTTCTTAAAAAGTTCGCTTTTCAAAGCGTGCTTTTCTTACTTGGTCAGGAGGGGGAAAGCCTGAAGAAGGTTCCTGGGCAAAGGAATGGAGCCCAGAGGGGGCGGGAAAAAAAACCTCTCAGTCTCTTGTAGAGAGAGCCAATAGCCAGCATGTGGCAGACTTCTGGGGTTGCCTCCAACAGCTGGTTTCATTTAGATTTTTGTGTGATTAACCGACATCTTCCTGTTCCTTTGCCACATGTATCTAGCAAGCCTCTTTTACCTTATAAGGGAAATCCTTTGTAGAGTGTAGAAGCTTTGATTACAGGAAGGGGTGGAGCCCAGAATGACTAGCAGTGACTAGCAGTTTTTCAAAAATACATATATATGTATATGTCCACATAGAGGAATGCATCTCAGAGCTCTTTCGCTTCCTGATAGTTGAAAATGTTCCCAAAGTGTGGTTGTCAGGATTCAGAATCCCCCACATAAGGAGCCACTCGCTTAAAAAAAAAAAAAAAGAAAAGAAAAAAAAAATCTCCTAAATCAAGCATCTCTGTATGATCTTAAAAATCATTTTCTTGACTGCTAACGTGTATGGAATTTCTCATTGGGGTGACGAAACGTTCAGGACTTAGTGGTGCTGGTTGCACAATTTTGTGAATGTACTTAAAAAACATTGGGGGGAAAATTCAGACCCTGCTCCAGTTGCTGAAGGAGTTAAGATTCATGCCATTGAAAAAGACTAATGGGCACCCACTCATTGGAAGGAGTGGGTGACATGTCTTAAGAGTTCATCAGTGGTTTTTAATGGATCCTCCAAACTGGTATTTCAGAGGAGGCCGCCATCAGGCACACCTATGGGAGCTTCCCGTCCATCTGCTGCTAACACTCTGGAGCCGAGAAACATTGCCTGCTTGTCTCTGTTTTGGGGCAGCTCTGGCCTCATTCTAATGCTCTCTCTCTTTTTTTTTTTCTTGCTGTATAAGGTGGCGGGACAGGGAGTGGTTTCCCACTCACTTTTACAGCCTGCCCCAATTCGGAGATTCTTTATTTTGATACGAAGAAGCCAGTGTGGCTTTTGGGGGGCCTTCACTTCTCCCCTTGATTGAGCCCTGTTTCACCCACTCTCAGTATCCCTTCCTGAGTGTTGGTGGTCTCGAAGCCCCCACAGGACTCAGGATGCAGGTTCAGCAAGGGAAGAGCCCTGGGCTGGGGCACCAGGGGCCATTCCTTACCAACTGTGGCACGAAACAATTGCTTCACCTAGCTCGGCCTCTTGGTTTTCCCATCTATAAAATGGGTGAGATACGTGAGGATTAAATAAGGCAAAGTCATAGCTGTAAGAGCTGCCTTTTAGTAGGACTTCCCACTTGCCAGGTGCAATGCCTCACCCTTCGATAGGGAGGCTCAGAGCGGCGAAGCCACCACGTGGTTACAAACTGGCAAAGCACGCCAGCACTTGATGATCCTGGAGTTCTCGCTTTTATGCACATCCTACCACATTACGTTCCTTGTTGGGGGAAACACTTTGAAAAGCCAGTAACACTGTTCAGACATCTCCTCCATGCCTATAACCAAGATTTCTTTCTTACATCTTTCTGTCCCATCATCTCTTGGCCAGACCTAATTAAGTATGGTGTCCTATCTGGGCTGCCTCCTCCCCCACAATGTATGACCAGAATTTTTTTTTTCCCAGAATTTAACTGAAGGCTCCATATTGCATTTATTTTGCCATTGAGGTCACCAGAAACGGACCTTATTATATGGCAGGGTGAGCCAGGTCACTGGTGGCCTTGTTCTCTAGGAATCCCATGCATGGAGAGGTCAGCACTACCTCTCACAGCATAGGGTTTACTTGTCTCTCGTCCATATTGACTTGACTTCCCACCCTGTATCGGGACACACACCTTCATTGGTGAATGGCAGGTGCGTGCTGACATTTTCTGGAAAGATCATACAGAAAATTCACATTCTCCAGACAAGAATGTGAATTTCTTAACCACTTGTATTCCTGGGTGGGCTCTGGCAGGGGGATCGTGTTAGCTGAGGGGAGGGCGCCATGTGAGTGGGAAGCTCCCGCTGCTGGCTGGCCTGTTACCTCCTAACCTGGCCATACTTCTGACCTCCCTAGGCTGAAGGGGATGTGGCAGCTCTCAATAGACGCATCCAGCTCGTGGAGGAGGAGTTGGACAGAGCTCAAGAACGACTAGCCACAGCCCTGCAGAAGCTGGAGGAAGCAGAAAAGGCTGCTGATGAAAGCGAGAGGTAAGGAAGCTTTGAATCCCGTGGCCTTGGTGTCGGCTTCTGGGAAATGGGATGAGAATGAGTGAGATCACGTGACATGCTCACACGTACGTACGTACATACAGTGTGTGCCAAAAACGCCTTATAAACCATCACACTGTGTAGGTGTTTTGTCATGGTGGTGACAGAAAAAAAACTCCCAGACAGAGGAAGGCAGGAAAAATGGACATATATAACTACAAGTGTGACTTTCACTGGTGATCAGTTTGCAGAGCCTGAAATCCACTGAGTCTCATCCATGTTTTCAAGACATTAATTTCTGGGGTGATATGAGATGGGACAGATGAAAACCTAGAACGGGCCATCTGCATAGATGATTGCTAGTGCTGTCAGGCAGGCTTTGGGCCACTGGACGGTGGCAACAGTATGTCAGGGACACATGCAAACTGGCACCATTGATGAACTTGCAACTGACAGTGCTCCTCACTTCCAGAGCATGAACGCTGCGTTTGGGTCTCCAGCAAGGTGCTCTGTCCTCCAGAGCGTGACATTTCTCTGGCACAATTCTCTCAGACTGATTCACAGAAGCAGCCATCGCTGTGTGGTGTAAGTGGGTTCTCTCTGTGGCAGTAGTGTGGGCCGGGCCAGTGATCATTGTGTGTCTACCACACGATCCCACCAGAATTCTCACTTGACCAATGCACCATGGTTTCCAGGATGAACTCCTCCAAAGGATTCATTTCTGATTGTGCTGTTGTGACCATAAACTGGAGATTTAAAAGCAACTGGGGAATCTTGGAGATTGACAGATTTCTTCCCATGCATGGAATAGCCAATGCCGAGGGCGCTGACCCCAGGGCAGAGTCCGTTTCAGCCACTTGGTAGAGGGAGAGGGGACAGCCATAGGGAAGTGTGAAAGATCTCGTCACAAGGTACTCGTGGCTGGGCTTGGGGCCTGGCTTAGCTGCTGCCCGTGTGCACTGTCACACTAGCCTGGCCAGATGTCTCACTTCCAGGATATCCCCAGGACAAACTCTGAAAGTCTAGGAAGGCCTCTCACCTGTATAATGTCACCAGAAGACTTTGGTGAGACCGTTGTTGGAGGCTGATGTTTTTTGGTTAAAAGAATTTTCTACTCAGAAGCTGGAGAATCTAGATTCAAGTCCTTCCACTGCCATATACTATGTGGCCTTGGGCAGGTCACTTTGATCTCCAGGGCTGCAGAGAGTTTTCTAAGCTTGCTCACCTGCTGATCTAGCGGCTTCGTCCAGGTGTGCAGCGTTGTGGCAGTCAGCTGAGAATGAAAGTGACAGCCCAAATGGAAGTATTTATTAGACGACAGAAGAATGCGGCCCTCTGCTCCGGGCGGACACACCACACATGGATATATTATCCCAGGTTAGCCTCTTTGGAGGGGCTGATCTTACCTGGTCCACGCCAAGCAGCGCAGGTCAGAGTGAGCTCATTTCATGGTCAGCCAGCTGAGTTGTGGGAGACTTCGGCTGCCCCAGGACATATCTTCTTCAGGCTCTCCTCATCCCTCACCTTTTCAGTACCTGCCTCTTACCTAGGCTTTCCACTGCAATCCATCCATTGTTTTGATTTCTACTCACTCCTTCCAGTGGTTGGTTCCCTGCAACCTCAGCGTAAAACCCTTAGCATGACGTTCAAGTGCCCAGCCTGCCATCCGGCCACCCTGACCTCCTGCCGTGTGTGTCATTCCTCTGGGATTTCTTATACAGCTCCCTCACTGAAGAATAACTTTCCCCTCCTCGTTCACTTGTGGACTCTCTTCTGGAAAGTCTTCCGTGACACACGCATACCCCTTTACCCACTACAGCAGACTTCATCTGTCTCGTAGACAAGCCGGCCCGAACCTCTAAGCACACTGTAGTAACAGTCGAAGTACGAGTACATCCCGTTACGAGTTAGAAGCGGTGTAGACTGGGCACACGGACTCTGGACACAGACCACCAGTTCTGAGTCCCAGCTCTGCCATTTACTATCTCTATAACCTTGAGCAAGTCACTTAGTCTCTGTGAAATGGGGACAGTGTACCTAGTACTTCCTGGGGCGGTCATGAAGTTTGAGGCACTGAGATCAGTGCCCAGCGTTAAGTACAATGAAATGCATGCGAGCAGCTCCACAGTTTCCTCTCTGGAGTCTGCTTCTTGGCAGATGTCCGAACAGTATTTGGGTGAGCCGGGGCGGGGCGGTGTGTGATGAGGCAGTACTGTGTGCGTGGTGGCGGTAACGACCAGGTTGCCCCTTGCAGAGGAATGAAGGTGATAGAAAACCGGGCCATGAAAGATGAGGAGAAGATGGAGATCCAAGAGTTGCAGCTCAAAGAGGCCAAGCACATTGCAGAGGAGGCCGACCGCAAATACGAGGAGGTGAGTGGGGGTGGCAGATGGCGGCAGCAGCAGGAAGTGGGGAGGAAATGGATGCATGATAGGGAGACCCTGGGGCCGCCCAAAGGAAGCTCTCAGTTAGGTCAGCTGTCCATCTGCATCCACATCTGTTGTTCCAGGGACGCCACTTGGCTGAGAACTGTATCTTCCACAATGCCAAAAGATCCTGGTGAATTCTGTGACGCTTGTCTGACTTGGGGAAATCAATCGACCAGATAGATGGCTTTTTGTCCCGTAGCTGGGTGTTTAGCACAGTTTGGCTAAAATGGAGGATCATGGTCCCCAGCCGTGGGTCCTCAGACGGTGAAAGCTCAGTTCCCTTTCTGCCCGCCTCCCTGGTCTCAGCTCTTCTCTCCCCTCCTATCTGCCTCACTCGTGGAGTCCGAGGGACAGAATTTAGATATTCTCTAGGACAGAGTTGAAGAAGCAGCAGAAAGCCCCATGCTGGCACATAGTCTGTGCTCAGCCTGGCCGTGTGCATGGGGAGGGCATCCTACTAGACGTGGCTGTTGGGGGTCAGTCTCTGATGATCCTTTCTGTCCCTACAGGTAGCTCGTAAGTTGGTCATCCTGGAGGGTGAGCTGGAGAGGGCGGAGGAGCGTGCCGAGGTGTCTGAAGTGTGAGTGGCACAGCAAGACCGAGTGGGGCCCAGCTCAGGTCTTGGGGGGAGTTGGTTGACACCAACCAGGGCCTCTGGTCAAGTAGTAGATGGGCATCTGGGACACAATGCTCGGTCTTTCCTCCTTGCCTCTGTGGCTGATAAAGAGATGGCGACTTACTGTCCATGGGTTGACTCTTCCCACAAAAGTATTGGGAAGTAGGAGTGAGACAGCTGATAGCAGAGAAGCCTCATTCTCCCAGAGAAGGTATCTTAGGAAGCTGTGCCTTCTTAACAGAAAGCTGACCTATGAAAGGCAGGCTGCCTCTCACCCATACCTCTCAGTGTTTAAATGCTTTGCTCCTGATGTCATCATTTGGCCATGACACATTCCTGGGCGGAGGGGTCAGGGGCAGTGAGAAGTTTGACCAGAATCCTACAAGCTCCAACACAACAAAAATCCGCTTCCCTGGGCCCTCCAGTTCCGAGAAGCATCCCTCATCCTGCATCCCGCATCCATGAGTGGGATCTAGTTTCACAAATCCGTTCGGAACTTGCTTCCGGCAGTGTCTGGAGTAAACTCTGATTGCGGTCTCCCAGCCTCCTGCTCTTCGTTTCATTCCTACACCTTCCGGAGTCGGCCTCATCAGTCATAGATTCCACAAGTCCCTGTTGCCTCAGCCTTGGCAAGAGGCCAGGAGCACTCCACAGACCTTCCAAATATCCTTGGCCTGCCTGCCGCGCCTTCTCTTGGCACGACAGGGTTATGATATTATGATAAGTACTCAGGCTCCGGCCCAGAAAAGGCCATTAACATTTTTCCCACATTCCTCGTGGGGGCCCCAGACGGTATGGTTTCTTCCTTTGGAAAATTGCTTTTCGGGGAATTGCCTGCTGTAAGGGAGGAAAAGACACAAAAATCCTTTGTCGTTGTGCAGAAAATGTGGTGACCTGGAAGAAGAACTCAAGAATGTCACTAACAACCTGAAGTCACTGGAGGCTGCCTCTGAAAAGGTTGGTGGTTGACTTGAACAGGAGGGTGATTGGCTGCACTTTCTATTTTTTCTCCCCCAGGGACTCGGGAGCAGGCCTGGGTATCAGGGCTTAGACCTGTACTTGCTGATGGTAGCTTTGGGGTGCCCAGCAGCTGGGGTTTTCCTCCCACAGAAAGGGGCATTCGACGGCTCGGTTTCCCTCTTCCTTGGGGTCTTAGCATCACTTTTATCTCCATTTCTCATGAGGCTGAAGGAGGAGTGTGAGACTGGTGCCCAGTCAGGCTCCCTGGGGAGATCTGAGCATAATCCTAGAAATACAGACCCTGATCCTCACTTGAATTCCCTGATTCCTCCAGAAATAACCTTCTTGACGATTGAGCACCAGATATCAGAGGTGGAATTTGGGGATTTTTAGGTTGACATGGTACCCAGAGCAGTCGCTACAGGATAGAATCACCTGGGAGCAACGGGCAGTCTTCACGGCGCCGCTTGCCCCGCCGGATTTCCCGTCTTCGTCTCATCCTCACTCCCCCTCTTCCTGCTGCCCTCTAGTTGCGTTGAACTTCGGCTTCACGCCCATTCCGTGTTCTCTCGTCACCTCCAGTTCTTCGAACTTGCTGTCCACTCAGCCTGGAGTGGCCTTTCCTTTTCTCTTTGCTTGCTAACCAACTATTCATCCTTTAGGCTTCTGCTTAAACGGCACTTCTGAAAAGCTTTCCCCAATTGCTCATCTAGGTTAGGTGTTTCTCGGCTGCATCGCCCCACCTGTATCTTTCCCAATCATGATGGTTGATCACATTTATCGTAATACTCAGTTGGATACCTGTCTTGCTGGATTGTGAACTTTAAAGACAGGGTCCATATCTGACTTGTTTAGAGCTGTGTCATTAGTCCTAGCCTTGTGCCTGGCGTATATCTGATACTAGGATGTTGGATGAATAAATACAGTCCAGGTGTGCATACCAAATGCTGCTCGAGGCCACAGAGATAGAAGTTACAGTGACAATATGGCCTTTGCTCCTGCGAGAGCTGAGTCGAGTGGAAGAGACTGACAAGATAACAGGGTGTTTTGGAACTTCCCCAGAGGGACCTTGGAAGGTTGGGAAAGGTGTCATAAGGTGACCTTTCAAAAGGCTGTAGAGCATGATGATGGCCAAGAGCTCAAATTTCAGAGTCAGGTTCCAGTCTAGGCTTGGTCACTTGATAGCCATGTGACCTTGAACAAATGACTTGACTCTTTACTCAAGTATAAAATGGGATTAGGGCTATCCGGCAACATAGCAAGCAGTTGTTAAGTGTTAGCTGATATTAATTTGAGTTAAGCCTTGAAATACATGATTTCTTACAGTAGTAATGGGGAAGAGAACATTCCATCCTGGGGGCGGTCCCATCACGGACAAGGGCTGGGAGACGAGAGAGCACACCGAATCTGTTGAGGAAGCGGCCAGCGCCATAGGGAAGTTGGCAGAAAATGGGGTCGGAAACAGATGTGAACGGCCTTGAGTAGCATGTGTTTTCATCCAGTCATCAGCCCCACCTTCATCACACTTATATCTCAAGCTGTCAGCTCAGGCCTTCGGATCAGTACCATCCAAAAGAGATCATCCAAAGGGTCTCTGAGTTTTACACACATTTCTCATGCCTGGAAAGGTGCCTGCCTCTACTGGACTTCTTGGGCATGTTCATACTTTTCTCCAAGGAGCAGGGAACTGGTGTTCTTTTACGCTTTTAAAAAAAATGTTTTTTAAAGCGGTGTTTTGGTTTCTCCCACAGTATTCTGAAAAGGAGGATAAATATGAAGAAGAAATTAAACTTCTGTCTGACAAACTGAAAGAGGTGAGTAATCATACCCAGCTGGTCAGGTTTCTCCTGGGGCCGGTCTTGGAAGCAATCGTAGCGACTCCTGTCTTTTTCTTTAGGCTGAGACCCGTGCTGAATTTGCAGAGCGAACGGTGGCAAAACTGGAAAAGTCAATTGATGACCTGGAAGGTATGAAATTATCTGATTATGTTTGCTCTGCCTCCCCCTACCTGACACATCCACAGAGTCGGGGGGAAGTCCGTGCAGGGGCGGAGCTGGGCTTTGTTTGCCTTAGGATAGTAAAGTGCAGCACGATGTCACATCTGGAGGTCTGGAGCACTGGAATTGGACAGTGCAAATCAAATTAAGACTTGGGTTGCCATTTTTTGAGACGTAAAATATTTTTGGTTAATTAGCTCCACATGTGAGTACAGAGACCCAAATATGGCCAATTTAAAAAAAGAACAAGTCTTTAGATAGAATTTCCTTCCATTTCCTCATTTCTGAGGGATGCCTTGCATTTTTTAAATGCCTTGCATTTTTACAGAAGCTCTTTCCCAGAGCGCTCAGAGTTTATCACCGTATGAGAAAACGGAAATATAGAGAATGTAGAGACTAAATAAAGACTCTAGTCTGCAAGTCTGGTGCCCACAGATTCCAGAATTTCTTGTAGAGTTCCAACTTTTAAAAAAATTTTGTCCTGTGTTCTTCATGAAATAATTCGGGGATTCAGATCTTAGGGTCCAGACAGAATCTCCCAAGCTGCTTGTTCCACCTAAAAAGAGTGTCCCATGTTTGGTTTGGGAAGTGGGGTTTCCATAGAAGGGGAATGCACCTGTTCCAAAGGATGACCTTTGAACCAGGTGACATCATTAAAAGTCAGAAACATCCCAGGGCGGGAACCCTTGAGAAGCTCTGCATTTCTGGTCACCACTCTTAAAGGTTCATTATGGCTAATCCCCTGAAGGACCTCTAACCACTTAGAAATCACTCTGTCAATCTTTTGTTTTCTCATTTGTTTTTCATAGGATACAACTTCCTCTTAGTTCATGCTTTGTTTTCTCACTTTTTTTTTCTTCCTTTCATTGCTCATCTGTGGCACACCATTCCGACCCTCGTGTCCTGTTCCCTGTACCTCTTCTTCCGAACTCTCTCCCCGGGGACCTCCGTCCTCTAGACGAGCTGTACGCTCAGAAGCTCAAGTACAAGGCTATCAGCGAGGAGCTGGACCATGCTCTGAACGACATGACCTCTCTCTGAGAAACAGTGGGAGTGTCACCCTCTGTCTTAGCAATACTGAAGTCTGCCTTCTCATTGCGGTGCCTATTTCCGTGGGCTTCTAGAAGCTCTCATTTCCTCCCTCCTGGTTTGACCCTCCAAGCCACCTTCCGCTGTGTCTGTGACTGAAATAAAGACGGGCGGTCCTCATCTTCATGCCCTCTCATTTTCATTTTCTCCACTTGCCGCTTTTGAGCCGTAGTGGCTGTGATGCCCTTGACCGTGGCTGCAACAGAAAGTGGTGGTTCGGATGAAGAGCTCATTTCAGAAAGAAAATTATGCCCACATGATTCTTTGATGCTGTGAAAACACAAACCAATTTGGCACGAGCTCTCAGATGCTGGGTTAGCTAACTATCTGCATGCCAGTAGCAGTTTTTCCTTATATAGAAATTGTTTTGAGTGCAGCCTCGCCCACCCTCTTAAGCAGCTTCATGGGGTCAGCAGAGCTTGCAAAAACCAGCAGGCTTGTGTCTAAAAAGAGGCTACCCTTGAATGGGGCTTGCTCTACGGATTCAAATAGTGGCAGTGGCATTTTGGTCTCTTTATTCCTCCTCTTCACATTCATTTCTCTGTGTTATATTCTGAGACTGCCTAGGGTTCATTGTTATTGGAACATCTATCCAGCTCCCAGTCCTGGGAGGAAATTCACTCATGAGCTCACCTCTATACTTTGCCCTTAAGAAACTACCCTACAGGGAATTAAAGAGTATCCCATTAGCAGGGAAAGGGAGTGGAAGCTGCTGGAATGCCAAAGAAAGGTAGCAAGGTGATCCTTGCCTGAGTTCCAGAGTTGCCTGAGATGCTAACACCTGCCTCCCCTCATACGTAAATTAACTAGAACCAGGAGCCTTGGTTTGGTTGGAAAAAAACTTATAAGTTAACCTGTGGGTGCTAAAAGGTCATGGTTATAGTGACCGAAAGCTCATAGATTTTTCCAAAAGAGTCCAAATTTCAAATGGTCTATCTAGTTCTCCCCTGCACCCCACCACCACTACCTCAGATTGTCCCCGAAACACTAACGTGTTGATGGCTGAGCCACATCTGGCATGGAACTCTCCAAGTAGTGTCATCAATTTTGGGTCCCTATAGCTTTTTATTTCTTATCTTGTAATTTTTGATTCAAGCGGAAACCTGTATCTCGATTCTTCTTTATATTCATTGCTCCAAAATACATCTCCCCTAAATGACCTACAGCCTTCTACTCCCAGCCTGTCCCTGTTCTTAGCTGCCATCTACCGGGAACTTTTGTATACACCACTTCCTCCCGTACTGCCATACGTCAGTCCCTGGGAAGATTACAGACTGTGTGGGGGTGGGTGTTTTCTGTTTGCTCTGTCTGCATATTTCTTCTTGGGATTTTTCCAGACATTTGTAGCCTCCATTCTTTGAAAATAACTGCAGCCTGGCCTCCACAGTCACTCTGCCTAACTAAGCACCTAAGTGGAACTTCATTGACAATGTTGGTGGCCAATGATTCGGACTACTTACTACCTGTTGACAGTCTATGGGCCTGTCACGATTCTCAAGGGCAATTAACACTTTCCAGGAAAGTTATTCTATCTCAGACCTAATAAAGTAGGTCTGAAAGCTATGCTCTTTCATGCATAGCTCTAAATGGCATCTTACTTTTTTTTTTTTTAATTTATTTCATCAATTCAATCACTTAATACCATACCCATAGTCTGGCTTAAATTTCAGTCATGTTGCATTTACCTGGAGTTTAACTACATTGCTATGGACACATAGACATAACAACACAATTGTGCCTGGGATTTCAATTATGCCAGGAATCCAGTGGCAAGGTGAAGTCAGGATTCATAGGCAGGATATCTGGGTTTAGATTCTACCTCTACATTAGCTGTGTGACCTCGAACAAGCTACTTTGCTTTTCTGCAAAATAAAGGTAGTATCTCCATTATTGTGAGGATTAAATGAGGTAATGGAGAAATTGCCTTACAGTAATAGGCACTCGATTACCACGTGTCCTTCTAGACCGAATAGACGTGAGTCACTGTTTTCTCTCTGGTAGAATCCTCCCAGATCAGTGTGGCTTGATTTTTCTTTTTTAAGTGCCTTATCTAATGAAAGGTTCAGTAGTTGAAAGGCAGCTAGCTATCTTGCACAGTCATGTTTTTTTCTCTCTGAAAATTTCCAAGCTGATCCTATCACATTTTATGAGACATTTTGCTTCCCTCCAGTATTTTAATGAGTCTTGGCCTAGTCCCTTATTGGCTATCACTCATGGTAAACCAGTTCTCCCTCATGCTCTTTCATGCATAGCTCTAAATGGCATCTTACTTTTTTTTTTTTTTTTAATTTATTTCATCAACTCAATCACTTAATACCATACCCGTAGTCTGGCTTAGATTTCAGTCATGTTGCATTTACCTGGAGTTTAACTACATTGCTCTGGACACATAGACATAATAACACAATTATGCCTGGGATTTCAACAGCCATTCCCAGAAGCACCAAAAGAAAGATGGGTTACAGGGTTATATTTTCCTCCCAAAAGCTCAAGGACTAATTAACTGGCACTAAGGGGGAAATATATTAAGTCACCCATATCTAGGACTAAAATCTTTTGTTTGTGTAGCACTTCGTAAGTTCTAAAGCATTTTTCATTTCTTTCTCAATAACCCCCGTACCACGCATTGGTGTTGTTATCCCTGTTTGACAGATAGGGGTTGAAACTGAGACCTAGGAAGGTTAAATGGCTTACTTCAGTGGCACAGCTGGAGCTCAAATCCAGGTGTTCTGACTCTAGGATTGCCAGATTTAGCAGATTAAAATACAGGATGTCCAGATAAATTTGAATTTCAGATAGGCACTGAATAATTTTTTTTTCGGCATAAGTATATCTCATGCAGCATTTGGGATATATTTATACGAAAAAAATGTACTTGTTTATCTGAAACTCAAATTTAACTGAACACCCAGTATTTTATCCTGCAATCCCTATCTGACTCCCAAATTTGGTATTTGATCTCTATTATTTCATAGTTCTCTATAATAATTAAAATGCAAAGTACTTTCTGCTATGACTTGTTCTGGCAGTGTGGAGTTTAGAAAATCTTTTTTCCCTTTAACAAAGATGCTTATTAATTTATTTTTTTTCCTACTCTTAAACCTCACCAGAAAAACTTGCCCAGGCCAAAGAAGAGAACGTGGGCTTACATCAGACACTGGATCAGACACTAAATGAACTTAACTGTATATAACCAAAACAGAAGAGTCGTGTTCCAACAGACGTTCCAGACCTCTGTGTCTTTCTCTTCTCTTGTAAGAAGTTTCTTTTGTTACTGTATCTGCGCTTTGCTGGAAATGTCAAGCAAATTATGAATATGTGACCAAATATTTTGTATCAGAGAAGCTTTGAGTACCAGTTAAATTTAATTCCTTCCTTTCTTTTCAAATGGCACCAGCTTTTTCAGCTCTATTTTTATCCTTAAATTGCATTTATTCCTAAGGTAGGCAGGGTGTCGACTATTGAACATAGTATCTTAAGACTGAGGGCATTTGGTTTCTGTGCAGTTAGACAACCGCACACTTTCAAAACACAGACTCCAATATCTAGTCACTGGTCAATTTAAAAGGTTCAAGAATAGAACCTCTGGGCCACTGTCAGATACACTATGGGAGGCCATCACATTAAAATAGGTGAGGGTTTTCCATCCAGAGCAAGGTGGGGTGCTATTGTAGGAAACCATAAACCACAGATAGGTCAATCTAATCATTCTGGCTCTTTTCCACATTCTACCATTCAGAACAAACATCCTCCGAGTGGTCAGCATGAGAATGCTTGGGAAATAGTCATAATATTTGCTCTGATATGAGGCCATCCACTCAGTAGGAACAAATATGGTAGATTTTAGTCTTGTTCAGGGAAGCCACAGTGAAGACTGCTCGCCATCAATAATTTGAGCAAGAATGCTTTTCTATTAATAAATATTGGGCAGAAGGGGCCTCTCTGGCAGCAGAGGTAAAGTAACTGGCCTAACTTCATTTCTTCTGGACTTCAGGGAATGATAAATTGAAGATTTACATATCTAGGACTTTAATTCCTTCTTCAGGACCAAGTTAATAAAAGACCAGGAAACTCCTGATTAAACTGGATATGGAGTATTTTTGTAGACAAACAGCTGCACATTTTGGCTTTGTTAGATTCTTATTTCTCAGTTAACATCTCAGAGCTGAAACATTCCATATTCCCCAGCAGTGTGGGGGGCCAACTCAAGTTTACAATTCTGACTGAAAATCACCCTGCTTCTAGCTTTATCCTCCTCTGTCCCTCACTCCTATTTATTATGCATCACACTACCTAGGAGATACACTAGCAAATCGTGCAATTGAATAAAACCCACTTTCATTTAGATTCTTGCGACTGTATCATATGTAATAGTTTCACTTTTTCTACATTTTGGTCAAATAAATTTTTACATAAACTAAAATTTGTGTGAATTACAGAATGCGTGGAAACATATAAGGCATTTTGGGTCAACGAATGTGAATGGGGTAGAGAAATAACAGCCACAAACGTAGTAAATTTTATTTATTAGCTTTATGCCATGACTTCATGATATAAGGATTATGATCTCTTTCTTACAGGGTGAGAACACTTTGCCTCAGTAACTAAAGCTCTTGTCCTTTGTTATCCCCAATCCTGCTGAGCCAGGCTGTGAAGAATGAGTAGGATTTTAATAGATGAGAAGGGAGCAGGAAAGATGGTCCCTGTTGCTTGAGTCAGGAAAGCACCAGGCCTGGGTAAGGTTTTCTGTATGTTGCAGAGATAAAGGAAATAAATAGGAAAGCTGGAAGATAGGCTGGGTCCGTGTTGATGAGAGCCTGAATTTCACTTGGTCAGGAATGAAGAGCCATCGACATTGGGAAAATCCATTTGGCATTCACTTTCAAGAAGGACTAGAATAGGGTAGGCTAGCGGCAGGAAGACCAGTTAGGAAAGTGTTTCCATTAATCCAGGGAGGTGCTGGCCATGGAATAAGGAAGAAGTGGTCTGAAGGAAGTTACCTTCAGAGTTAGCAGATGTGATGGCAGAGAAAGATGACAGCAGTTTCACTACCTGAATTGCTTTGGCATTTGCCTCAAGGTCTAACCTGAGGGAAGTGGGTAGGGAATCAAAAAGAAATGAAAGCCTTTAAAAAAACACTGATGTAGTATGCAAACAACTTTTTGTTACCAAGTACAGTTGCAAACATTTCCTGCTATTCAACATTTAGCTGACACTGAGTTTGTTTAGGATGAGAATATCGACATAATTATAATCCCCTCCTCTAAATTCCCTACCATTACTAGATTGAGGTTCTTTCTACCTCCCCACCCCCATTGGACTGTAATCTAATCTCAGGGTACCATTTCAGTCATCCTTGTGCCTCAGCATTTAACACAAATGTTTAATGTTTAGTAAACTGACGTATCTTAGCTCTTGGGGAGTTTCCAAGTCCCATGAAGTGTGGGTGGGACACAAAATCTGAGTTTAGGACCAGGGTGTGAGGGCTTTATCTTGCCTATAGACCATGGCTGGATATGGGGTAAGTGCTTTAGAATGAACACTGCAGGGTGGAATCTGGATTAGAGAATGATCACAAAGACCAATGGAGAGATGTGATGATCTGATGGGCAATGGAAATAGAAGAATAAGAATTAAGGGCTATTTAGAACCTTGAGAACCAGGGTGTGAGGGATGAAAGAAAAGTCTCAAAGACAATTTCAGTTGCAGCCAGATGGTAATTCAGGACAAGCTAGTGTGAGAAGATGACGAGGTCAGTTGTAGACATGCTGAATTTGAAATATCTGACAAATCCAAATGCAGATGCCAAGGAAGTAGTTGGACGTGGAGGGATGGGTGCCGGACGGGTTCTCTAAGAAGTGAGAATCACCAGCGTGGGGATACTAGAAGCCACAGGAAGTAAGTTCACTCTAAAGTTTGAATAGAGACAGGAAGAACCATGGGGAACACGGACGCTTAGGGGACAAGCAGAAGCCCCCAAAAGACTGCAAAAGAATCTGAGAAGCAGCACCCAGAGAAGGGGAGGTGTAGGTGGCAAGTGAAGAAAGGGGCAAATAAAATGAGAGTGCCAAGAAAAAGAATTGCCAGGATATGTGGTCAATAGCATCAAATACCAAGGAGGCTGAAACCTACAACGTGGTCTATGGTTCTAGCTGAAGCTTTTCCTAAACAGATTAACGGAATGGGCTGAAGTGGAAGGGAGGGGAGCCTCAGAACTATCTTGGAACAGCCTGGGCCAGCCTCTAGGTGTCTGATGGCCCAGAGGGTTTGGCCCATCTCTAAGAAGCAGGAAACCGTGATCAAGACATTGGCCTCTGAAGCTTGTTGGTCTGAATTCGAAACCCAACTTCCCACTTCGGTGTCTGGGAAAGTTTACTTTAGACTCTCTGGCCTCGGTTTTCTCACTATAAATCGTGGTTAAACAGTAATACCTACCTCAGTAGGACTAAATATTCTGTTTTTTTTTTCCTGAGTGTTGACACCACTGGCGGGCACATAACCAATGTTCCTAAATGTTACTTGTAATTCTCACTATCCTAACTCCCTCGGCTGGTTCCAAGCCACTGAGGGCTGAGTGGGTTGGTACAGGCGAGGTTCCAGGGGAAGAACTGAAGGCAGAAAGTGGTCTAGACAACCTATAATTAGGTCCGAGGACGTGTTCTGAATCGTCTCGGCGCACGCAGGTGGTGGGGTCAGTTGTATCTGGGTATCTAAATAGGTCCCCAGGCCGGCGTTGAGATCCCGGAGATCGTTTTGGGGGAACCTCGCTTCTACTGTGACGAGTCCCCTACGCTCCTCTCTTCTCCTTACCCAGGCCTGACGCGGAGGCCTCTTGACGATACCACCAAAAGCACAGCGCCTTCCCGCGCTCGCGCTGGCGGATACTGAGCCTGCGTGGCCGAGAGGCGGGCACCACACACTCCAAGCGCGCGCGCCCTCTGCTGGCGCCTAACGGACTCCCCGGCGCGCGTGCGCACGCTGCTCAGATCCCGCCCCCGGGCTGCGGGCGCGCGGAGCCGTTGGCGTCGCTCCTCGCGCTCCACCTCCCCTCGGGTGGCGGGGCGGGACCTCCCCAGAGTCAGAGGAAGAAGGCGGGGACACGGGGTGCACGCCCCCTGCCCTGGTCTTCATTTGAAGCCCCTCTACTCCTTACAGCTGGCCAATCGTAGCCCGCCCTGTCCCGAGCCTCGGCCAATGAACTGCGCTCATGGGCCGCTTCCGGCTCCGCTCCCCGTTCGCCCCTTCCCCAGGTCTCCCCGCGACGGGCGGGGCGCGGGGTCGGGCGTCGGCCTCGGTGACGCGCCGTGGGCGGGGAGCCAATGGGAGGCGGAATGGGCGCTGATGGACGGGGGCAGCAACCAGTGGCGAGGCGCTGGCTACACTTCCCGTCGGGGAGAGAGTGTAATATGGCGAAGACCTACGATTACCTGTTCAAGCTGCTGCTGATCGGGGACTCGGGGGTGGGGAAGACCTGTGTCCTGTTCCGCTTCTCCGAGGACGCCTTCAACTCCACTTTCATCTCCACCATAGGTAGCGGGGCCGGGGAGCGGCCGGGGTCGCCGGAGGCCGAGGCTGGGCGCGTCCTTGAGGGACTGGGGCTGAGGGAGCAGCCGGGTTGGACGGACCCAGGAATCCGAGAGGGTCGAGAGGGTCGGAGGGGACAAGAGCAGCCGCCTTCACCGGAGTTCGGGGTTCCTGGGCCATCTGGGGGAAACCAAGTGCCCATTTTGCAGATCAGGAGACTGAGGCCCCAATCCTCAGTCGCTCTTCAGGGACTATATGTCCTGGGCTCAGGTCTTGGCGCCTGTCATCTCGTTCTGTCCTCACAGCAGCCCTTGAAGCTATTTTGGGGGTCGTCGTCTTGCAGAAGTGAAACAGACACGGGGAATTGACCGTGGGAAAAGGCCCGTGACATCTGACCTTACTGAGAATTTACTGTGTGCCAGACACTATATGTGTATTATTACACTCCAGTTCTTTGTGTTAGGTCTTTGTGAGCCCATCTCACAGATGAGGAACTTGAGGCTCAGGGAGGGTTGAACTTGCCCAAGGACATACAGTCTGCAGGTGGCAGAGACAGGATTTGAAACCATGTGTATCTTACCCCCAAACTTAAGGCGCAGCTATCCCAGAAAGTGGGAGCACAGGACAAGCAAAGCAGATCCACCTTGGAGCCAGGCCTCTAATCCAGACCTCTCCTGCCTCTTTCCTCAGGAATAATCAGGGCTTAAGCTTCTTCTCCCTGACCCTGTTTCCCCCATGGGTGAATATCCTCTAGAAGGAATGGTGAGAGGAAGTCCAGAACCTTTCTCTGCCCTGCCTTCCATCCCACTTGAGGGTCACAGCAGTGGCAAGTGACAACAGCCTTCCCGGGGACTTGTCATCCTCAAAGAGGTGCCAGATAAAAGCTTCAGTGGGAAACCAGAATCAGTTGCTGCCACAGACCTCCCTGACTTCCCTATCGCGAGGCCCAGACAAGGCCCAGGACACTGGTTGTCACTTTGCAGAACAGCCTTTCCCGCAAGACCAGCCCACATTGTGGTTGAACAGAATTGGCTTGTTGCTTTTCAGTTCTGACTGCCACAAAAGTGGAGCTGACTTTTCTCCACGCCACAGAAACAGCTCTTGCGCACGTGAAAGGTTCGGCCTGAGAGTAACACCGATCTATGCAGCTTTGCTCTTTGCTCTGCAGTGGGGAAGTGGGAAAACTGTTGCCAAGCCCAGGAATTGATTCTGAATGGAGAAAATCTAGAGAACAGGCTCTGCCTTACCCCTGTGTAAGTTAAACCCCATGAAGTTATCTCCTGAACTCTGTGATGAGCTGCTGACTGCCCTTCAGGAGCTGCACTTTGCAAAACAATTAGGTGCCAGGTGCAAAGTAGAAGACATCGTCATGCCTGATTTCCAGCCGTTGTTCACCCTTGAACAGTCACTTCACCTTTCTGAGCCCTGTTTCTTTAGTTTAGGAGTGGCGCTCTCTGCTTTGCCCAGTGCCTTGGGTGGTTGAGGATCAGAACTGTGTAAGGAACAGGAGGTTGTCACCACTGCCAGGGGCCATCTAGAGAAAGCAGAATGGCTCCTGTAATAATAGCATTCCTCCCCAGGGCACAGGTGATTCTGATTCCTTCCCCTACCCAACTCCAAGGTCAAACTTTTGGATAACCCTGTGTCCCCACCAATCAGGAAATGATGTTAACACTTGGCAGGCTATGGGTCTCAACTCACATCTCAGTTTCTCGGCATCAGGATCTTCCTGTTCAGCACAAGTACTAGCGGGATCAATTCAAGGGTGAGTTTTTGGTTTGATTTCTGATTCTTGACTCTAAAATTCAGACTGGCATTTAGGGCTCCAAGGAGGCTGGCCTCCACTTGCAGCATAGGACATGACTTGGACAAGGTCACCTAGGGAGGTGAAGGTGGCACTTGAACCCAGGATCCCTCCCACCCACGTCGTATTGGTCTCATAACACTTGTAGCCTTCCTGCAGGCCTCTGTCTTCTAGGAAAGTTTAATTCACCTTGACTTTAAAGTTATAGCCTCATAACTCTTAGGTCTTGTAAAGTTTACATTTCCTAATTAAATTTGGTGTGTTAATGAAATTCCGAAGGAGAACAGGGCAGAGTGATGTTGTGGGGCTCTGCTGATTGAATGGTGCTTTTTGATTTCATAGGTCCCTGGGGATATGTGACAGGAGGTAGGGGATGATTTAGGAAGAGGAGACACTCGGCTGCTTTGTCCTGAAATACAACTTAATGCATAAAGAGGATTCTCCATTGGCACTGAGTGTGCCTCTGGGTTTTCTTTATAGATCAGGGATTAAGTGGCTGTTCATTTTCTGCCCGGGTTATGTTTTGCCAAAGCCTGTTTCTATAAGCTCTATTGATTGTTTGTGGTGTGAACTTGGCCTTGTGGCTCCCAGAATTGGTTTTCTCCAGCCTGGCTTGGCGCTCACCGCTTCCTCAGGGCCCTATTCATTCATTCCTTCAGGGGGATGGGTGACGTAGGTGAAAGCACTTTGTAAACCATGCATCACCACGTAGATCCCGTTGCTCTTAATTCTTTCATTTAGCCATCTTTAAAAATAATGCCTGCTGTGTGCCAGTTTTCCACCTTGGTATAGGGGCTGCAGAGATGACTCCGATGAATCAGGGAAGCAGAATTGTAACGAGGCCTGTAGCAAAATGTGTGTGCATGACTGGGCAGTTGGCTTCTAGAAAATAGGTATTCAGCCCCTGCAGTGCTTAGTCACTGGATATGTGACCGTAAAACTTCTGAGTCCCTGCCCTCTTGGAGCTTATGGTCTAGTGGGCACAATTCAAGTGCAGGCTTATATTCTTTGTGGTCTCCAGGACAGCTCCTGAGGCAGGCAGGGACAGAATTAGCATCGCCATCATGGGTTCTGAGGGGTCAAGCTAAGCCTGAGCCTCAAGCACAACAGTGATTTAGAACAAAACCCCAGGGGCAGAGCCTGGGTTTGGCTGTCTTCCCTTCACACAGGCCATTCTGATCAAGTTTTGCTCCTAACATTCATGGAGCAAGTAACCAAATAGACAATGTCAGGGAAAAGTGCATGAAGAAGAAAAAGTACGTAGAGGGAAAGAATGAAGATGACAAGGAGGAGGTGACTTGAACCAGGGACCTGAGTAAAGTGAGGCGAGAGCCAGGTGACCATGGAAGAAAAGAACATTCCAAGAGCAGGAAGAGCAAGCATGAAAGCCTGAGGCCGAAGCGTGCTTGAGATGGTTAGGAAACAGCCATGTGGGCAGGGTGGCCAAGGCATGGCCAAAGGGTGGGGCATGAGCTGTGGGTGCTGACAGTTGACCAGATTAGGCAGGACCATGGAGCACACAGGCAGTTGTTTTCACTTTATTCTGGGGCCGAGGAGATGGTGGGAAGCCATGGGAAGGTGTTTTGAGTTTTTATAACAGTTTTATTGAGATGTAATTCACAAGCCATATAACCTATGCATTTAAAGTGTGCAATTTGGTGGCTTTGAGTATATTAATAGAGTTGTGCAACTATCACTACCATTGATTCTAGAACGTTTTCATTATGCCAAAAAGAAACTGCAAACCCCTTAGTTATACCACCCCACCCCACCATCCCATCTCATTCCTCCTGCAGCCCCTGGAAACTGCTAATCTTTTTGTCTCTCTGGATTTGCTTGTTCTAGACAGTTCATGTAAATGGAATCATACACGTTATTGCCTTTTGTGTCTGGCTTCTCTCACTCAGCATGATGTTTTCAAGGTTCATCCATGTTGTAGCGTATGTCAGTGCTTCATTCCTTTTCATGGCTGAATAATACTCCATGGTATCCACATTTTGTTTATCCATTCATCCGCTGATGGGCACACTTGAAAGGTCTGGAACAGAAGTTAGCTTTGTGACATGGTCGAGCGTGTGTTTTGGAAGCGTGGGGAGGGGACTGAGGGAGCAATCGTGGAAGCGTGGAGAGCAGCTCTGGAGGCTGAGAGGTCACTCTGGTCCTGGGGAAGGGGACTAAAACTGGTGGCTGGGAGAGAGGAGAGTGGGGTCAGGAAGGCTTCTTGGGAGGTGACCTTCGAGCAGCTCTTAAAAGAGAGAGAAGTTTGCCAGGCTGACAGGTGGGCAAGGTGGGAAGGAATAGTATGTGCAAAGCCGGAGACCTACCTGCATCAGCGGCGTCTTGAGGCCTAGCGTCCTGTGTGCTTGGAGGGCCAGGGCAGGGTGGCGGGAAGCGTGGCTTTCTGGCCTGCAAAGGGCTCTGCTGGGCCCACTCCATGAGGGTGCCTCTTGGGGTGGGGAGAGAGCAAAGCTTTGGCACCTGAGCTACCTAGGTTTGCCCGTCAGCTCCGCTAGCTTCACTCCAGGCAGCTCCTGTCTGCCCTCTGAGCCTCAGCTTCCCCTTCCATGAGAAGAGAAAGTTTTCCTGGTCACTCCACATTTGTTGTGCGGATTCCAAGATCCCACATGCCCAGTGCCAGCCAGGTGCTCCATAATCCATGGCAGCTGTAACCTGCACATGTTGGCAGCACCCTCCTCAGACACAGCTTGGGAAATGGGGCTGACAGTGATGTGTCTTTTTTTTTTCTTTTTTTCAGGAATTGACTTTAAAATTAGGACTATAGAGCTTGATGGCAAGAGAATTAAACTACAGATATGGTAAGAGTCACTGCCTTTGTCGGTGCCTTCACCTAGCGAGTGCTTGAGCAGAAGCCCCTGGTGCCCTCTCCCCGTCCCCATGACCACAGCCTCCATCTTTTTGTGCCTTGCCCAGATACTTTCAGAAGCCCAGGAACTATGCTGTGCTAGCTGCTAGGACCTAGAGTCTGTGTCAGTACCTTCCAGGGACGTAGCTACAAGTCCTCAGCTCATTGTTTTGATGTGGGCACAGCCTGGGTCTGGGCTTTAGAGTGGCCTACTCCTATTAAACTTGGAGAGGGCCCTTTGAGCCTGGCAGTGGTGGCTGCTAGGACGGTGAGATGCCCCAGCTGGCATTTCCTTCTGAGCCTGTCAGCTCGCTGAGGAAGACCGACATCGCTTCCTCTTTTCTCTCCTGGGGCAGCCCAGGCCTCACTTCCTAACATGCAGACCTGAAACCCCAGAACCGAAAATAAGCTGAGGCAAGCCCAGTGATGAGACTCGTTTCCATTTTGCTCACCTGGGGCTAGCTTCTGTGCTACATAAAATTGGAGAAGTGTGAGTCCCTGACACTGATGCTAACTGGTCTGCAGCCCACGGCTCTGGAGCTCAGGCTGAGCTCAGACGGTCAGATGTAGGGGAGTCCCGCCCTACAGCCACATCACTTGCAAGGAAGCATGAGCCCCGAGCAAAATAGAGAAGTAGTATTTGGGAGGATAGCACCATCCCTCCCATCCAGGCAAGCGCCTGTAGGTGCGAGTGAGAGGGAGCACCATGAAATGGGCTGCAAAGCCACCCACTTCCCACTGCAGCTGACCCCCCCGAGTCTTAGAGCATGAGCATCATCCCAGTTTGCTTCTTGGGCCTCCTCAACTTCAGTGGTGTTCACTTCTGAATCTGATTTCAGAACCAAAATCTGAATGAGGCCTAATGCCTTGTCCATCCTTCAGAGCTCCCAGTCAGTCGGCTCTGGCTGCCTGGGAGCTCTGTAGGATGGACAAGGCATATAAGTTACTGCCTTGTAAGTTACAAACCACACAAGTTCCTCCACTTCCAATCTTGGCTCCCCAGTAGCCTCGGTGCCCAAGTCCAAAGTGACACTGTACCAGCGAGCAGTTTCTCTTTCCTTTTCTCCTGTCTTCCTGCTCTTGCTCTTAGTCTCAGTGGGGTTAGAGACTTTTAAAACTCTTATAGACTAGGCCATGGTTGAGAATAAAATGATCGTAACTATGAATATTGCCTGCTATTGGTGTTAGAAAGGCACCTTATCTTCAAGTGAGGCATTCTGTACAGTCCAGACTTGCAGAACCCTCCCAGTGCAGAGTTGCAGGAAGAGCCTTGGGCCCGGAAACAAAAGATATGGCCCTGCTGCCAATCTGTTAAGTCACCTTTAAGCCAAGCACTGACTGCCCTTTGTGCTAGGAGCTAGGCTGGGCATGGACCTGTTTTACCCAGGTGTCCCCTCCATACCAAGGAAGGACTTTCCCCCTGGCCTCCACCAATGGCATAAAAGTACTCTCTGAGTCCTTGCTGAAGTCACCAGCTCAGCCCACCAGTGAGAACTGTGTTCCCATGCCACATGACCATCCCCTTCTACATGTGTGACCTCAGAACTTTACAAATAATAACGTCTGACTGTGGCTCTTCTGTGACCCAGAAACTCCAGGGAGAATCCCCAGGAAGAGGGTGGATTTGTCGTGTCCCCAGCTAGGAGCCATCAGTAGGTACTCGACCTGTCTGAGCCACATTTTTCTTTTCTGTAAGAATAAGGAGAGTAGGGGGTGCTGCCGACAGCAGGACAACGAATCAGAGATGACCCGTGAGAAAGCGGCGTGTCCATCCCAAGTAGATGCCCCTTGTTCCCACTGTTATGGTGTTGCTAATATCCCTTCTACTTCTTGGCTTTAGGGACACAGCTGGCCAGGAACGGTTTCGGACGATCACAACAGCCTACTACAGGGGCGCGATGGTATGGATTGGTGCTTTTGTTTTTAAGTCAAAATGAACATCACTGCTTGGATACCGAAACCTGGCCGTTTCTGAGGAGCCTCGTGCTCTGGCTCCTCGGGGAGTCTTTGGTCTTGGGTTAGTTTTAGGAAATGGCTGTGTGCTTCTCCCCCCCATACATACATCGCCTTCTGGCTTAAGAGACAATGCAGGGTTTAAGGAAACCTCATTCTTTGGAGATGAAGGAAGACACAGGAAGCCAGTTCTTCCAGGTGAGGTCAGTGAAATCAGAGATGGCATGCCCCAACACCTAGGAGCATTCATGTGGCCTGCGTCAGTCTCTGTGGAATTTGCTACCGAAAAGTTGAAGATGGTCCAGGAGCTTACTTGTTCTGGGCTGTTGGCTGTTAACATTTGTTGTGTGGGCCTGAGGCAGGGTGACGTGATCGGGAGACTGGTTCGTTATCCCTCAAATATTTTTACTGAGCACCTTCTCCAGGCCAGGCTTGAACTAGATGCAGAGGGAGACCTAAAACAGGTCAAAGCCTGCCCTTGAGGGCCCTGAGCAGGTCGTGCATGTGTGAAGTATATGTAAAGTGGGCCGCTTAGGCCAGAGGGAGCAGACACAGACTCCCCAAAACCTGGCTTAGCACCCTTGGTCACCCTCTGAGCTCCGTCTCTTTATTTGGAAGGTGGAACAGAGAACAGGACTATATTCCAAGCACCCGGGAAGATAGATGGTCATCTCCCCGTTTCCAGATCCCACCCCACCCTGCCCTTTCCATGGCACGCCCTTTCCATGGCACACCCCATCATTTAACTGTAGAGACACCTGTTTTCTCCACTAGGCCATAAGGTTTGTGAGGCCAGGACCACATCTTGGTTACTGCCACATGCCCTGTGCCTGGGACTGTGCTAGAAGTATGTGGTAGGAACTCAGGAAATGCTGGTGGACAGCAGAAATGAATGGAGACATTAAGTATTTAGTGACCCACACGGCGTCTGAAACATAATAGAAACTCAATCACAAGGGTTGCAACCTTAGCGCTCCTCATTAAAATTAATTTACTAATTTTCTCTTCATCTTGCTGTGCTCTGGTGAGGCGGGGCGCTTAGGGCACTGGAGTCCTGGGGGAGCTTCTGCTATGTGGCGTCAGGTAGACCCCATCTCTCTCTCCCTCCTAGCCTAAATGTACCCCACACACACACACCCCATTCACCAAGCACTTCCGTGTGCCAGAGAATCATGGGGGTGAGGGGGTGTGACAACACCAGGTTTTGGCCAAAATCCAGACACCCCTGAGCTTGGGTGCCACAGTTATCCCCATCACACAGAGAGGAAGCTGAAGCTCAGTGCCATTCCGCACCCGGCTTAAGTTCACACAGAGGGTACACATCTGGGTTGGTCCTAGCGGGCTCTCTCCAGTGCCCATATCTTCAGCCCACTCCTGACCAGGTTGGACTGAGCCATCTGTAAGACCTTGTTCAGTCCCAAGACGATTGTGTCTTGTGGTCCTCCTAGACCTGCACTGACCCGTTTAGAAGACACTAGCTATTTGAATTTAAGTCAGTTAAAATAGGAAATTCAGTCCCACAGTCTCACCAACTGCATTTCAGGTGCCCTAGAGCTGTGTGTGGCCATCAGTGACCTCACAGGACAGTGCAGAGAACATTGCCATCATCATCATCTCTGTGTGGTACTAAACCGTGGAGTCTCAAATATGAGAGCATTTGATGTCTGGTCTCCCCTTCTGAGCTGAGAAACGGCTATGGGAGCTGTGCCCAGATGGGGGCCGAGAAATGATCACTGGGAACCCTGAAGAGAGTTTCAGGGAGGACCTGGAATAGGTGACACTATGTTTTCTAGGTACTTCTGCTCTTTCCTGATAGAGAGCTCTATCCACTGCCCCACCCCCATAAGTAAAAATCTAGGACCTTGGAATCCTGGCACATGCTGCCAATTTAGTGATGACAGTGGGAATCCTAGGCCATCAGAGGGGCCAGTCCCTAGATAAAGGGGTGAAAGGCAGTCCTGTGGCATCTTGCCCCTGGTTGCGGGAGGGCAGCTGCTAAGCAGAGGCCCTATGTTTGACTAATGGAGTCTGCCCACCAGTGTTCTCTGCTTGTGCTGGCCTTGGCCGGAGTGAGGCAGACATCGTGGCCACTGAAACCTCTGAGGCCTCCTGTCAGCAGTCTTTATTAAGTCTCCCCAGGAGACCCCTGAATGAGGGTCCCAGATGGCGTATTTTTGAGGGATTGTGGCCGTGGCGGGTTGTAAAGCCACCATGTGTATCCTTAGGGTCACAGTGGGGATTTGGAAGTACTGTGGTTTTCTTGCCCTGTCTCCATGGTGTTGTCACACACCCTCACCCCTGTGATTCTCTGCCCAGTGCACACGGCCCATGTTCTTACTCTGCAAACTCAGGCAACTTCAGAGACAAGGTCTCAGCCACACTAGAGGTTGTGGACAAAGGGCTGGGCTGCACGAGTGGGCGGCGTGAGGGAATGGAGTAAGCTACACCTGGGCAGGATGGCTGGGGCCATGTGCCTTAGAGCCCAGGTGCTGGGCCGCACAGGGAGCTTGCAGTGGTGCTATAGGTGGGCTCACTGTGGGCACCCCTCAAGATTCTAGGGGTGGCCCTGAGCATTGCTTGGTCCTAAGGGGGCCCAGGGAGGTTCCCTACAGGAGCCAGTGTCATCAGCTCCTCCAGGGTTAGCCCCACCTGGCCTTGCCTCTGAAAGGTCACTTCTCTCTGTACCTCAGTTAACTCTCTAACAAACGGTGGTATTTGCCTCTCACAGTGATGGTAAGATCATGGGCTCAGGTGGAGGCAGAGTCATTCTGCAGCACTCTTGGGACCCAGGGTCCATACCCCAGTGCTCACATATTGGTTATGGAACCACAGAGGCCTCAGTGTTGCAGAGTGGGGGTGGTGGGACCACCTGACCTGGGCCTGTGAGGCTTCAAGGAGACCCCACTGGAATGCCTGGCATACAGTAAGTGCCAGACGAGGGACAGGCTAGGGCACCCAGAGGAAGCAGCACTGGCCAAGCCCAGGAAGTGACTTGGGCCAGGACGGGAGGTGAGTGAGGGTGTGGAAGAAGCTAAGCACAGCCGAGGGTTGATGTTGGGGGGAAGCACAGCGGGCGCCAGGGCTGTGGAACACAGCGTCCAAGTCGGGGATCTGCAGGACATGAGACTGGGAGGTTGGCAGGACCCAGGGCTGCCAGGGTGTGTGGGCCGTATTTATCCTGCCTGCAGTGGGGAGCCAGCAAGGCCATTGTCAGCATGGGTGTGGTGGGGCCTGGTCTGTGGGATGAAAGGTCACCTCAGTGGCTGAGGGGGCAGTACTGGAGCCTGGGAGACCAGGGAGAGGCTGGCGCTGGAGCCCAGCAAAAGAAGAGCCCCAGGGATGGAGAGGGGGAAGTTCGGGGAGGGGTGTTATGTCCAGGTCCCATGACCCCCGTGCACTGAGCTCTCCCTCAGAGAGCTCACAGCTTGTCTAGAGCACGTCTCTGTCTCCTCCTCAGGGCATCATGCTGGTCTACGACATCACCAATGAGAAGTCCTTTGACAACATCCGGAACTGGATTCGGAACATTGAGGAGGTAAAGCTTGCAGGCCCCATTTACACACAAGAATGTCCCACCTGTCTTCTCCTTGGTTCTCACCCTGGAGCCCCCTGGTTTACAGATGAGGTCACTGAGGCACAGAGACACCCACAAGGAATTTGCCCAGGATCACATAGCTAGGGACACAGCTGGAGTGGAGACTGAAACCCAGGTGGTTGGCACCGGAGACCACGCTGGCCTGGCCTCGTCACAGAGTGGCTCTGAGAGCCCATTTCCCCGACTGGGCTGTTGGGTTTGGCAATGTCTTGGTTGAAAGAGAGGTGATACTCAAGCTCTTGGTCACCGTGAACATTTGGTGCTTTCTAGAAAAGGAAGGTTTTAGAATTGGCATAACCCTTGTATTTGGAGGGTGTGGTGAGAAGCTGTGCCAGGTGTACTTTGAGCCACAGTAGAGTGGGGTGTGAGCTGGTGTGAGGTCCCCGTATTCAGGGCAGCAGCACTTGTACCACAGCTGGCTGTGAAGAGACCTTGAACCCTGGAGGCGGGGGAGGTGGCCAGTTCCACCCCCCATCCCCAAGCCAGTGTCCTCACCTTCCTGCTCCCCAAAGAGCTTACCTCACCCCCAACGTCTTCCTGGATGATGGAGCTTGCAGCTTTTGGTGACTCACCAGGTGGGGCATCGGGTCTGAGGTGCGGCCAGAGGACTTTCCCCTCCTGGGCAGCCACGGCATGTCACTCACCGTTGGCCCAAGGATTATAGGCAGTAGCACCGGGCCACCTCCCTGATGGCCCTAAATTTGCTGGCAGGGGGCTTCACCTGGCTGAAGAGGAGGAACTGCCCACATTCATGGTGTCTTTGTGGAAGCTCTGTTTCTGGCCAACAGGCAAGAGGGCCCTCCAGCTGGTAGGAGGTTAGGCACAGAGCCATGCAGGGCATTTCAGTGAAAACAGGTCGGAGCTATAGGAAGAAGAAGGTCCTGTCTGGTGCCAGAGGCCTTCAGGAAGCCAGGGCCACTGCACTGAGACAGGGCAGATAGGACAAAGGCACCATTTTCAGGTGTGAGGGCAAAGTTAAGTGAATGCCAAGGGATGGCAAAGAACCCAGGCTTGTCACCACCCCAGGCACGGCCCATTTTCGGAGCCCAAAAAGAGTGAGCTGGAGCAAGGCAGGAGCTTCCAGGACAGGAGCCAAAAAAAAAGAGTGAGGAGTTGGGGAACCTCCCATAGACCTCACCAGGATCCCAGGGACAGACCCAGGAGCCTGTGTGACGCAGAACGTAGAGAAGCCATCTTCAGCAGCCAGAATGTGTGTGCTTGGGCATAGAAGCAGCCAGAACCCTGGACTTGATCCTGGCGTTGGCTGTGTGACATCGAACAGGCCACTCAGCCTCTCTGAGCTTCAGCCAGTCATCTGCACAGGGGGTGTACTTAGCAATCCTGACTCCACCACTCTGATTTTGGGGGTCAGGCTGCGAACTGGCCTGTGGGCCACCCTGACCAGCTTCTCACCTCCCCTGTGTGCTCCCTCCCCCCAGCATGCTTCTGCAGACGTCGAAAAGATGATACTTGGGAACAAGTGTGACGTGAACGACAAGAGACAAGTGTCCAAGGAACGGGGAGAGAAGGTGAGCATGATGGCTAACTTAGGCCTGGTGCTGCCAGGCACCTCAGGGCAGAGGGACCTCAGGATTTGGGGGTTCCCTGCATGAAGGCCATCCTAATTGCTCACTGATGAGAAGACCAGCTTTGGGGAAGAACCCCTTAGAATCTTCATGAACATAAGGTGACCCACCATCCTTGCTTGTCCAAGACTGAGGGTCTTGGGATGAGGGACTTTGCCAGGCAAACAGGAACAAGTCAATTGCCCAGTGAGGCATGTGCATGGGAAGAGAGAGTGGGAAACACGCCCCGCGGGCTTCAGGCTAAAGACTGCGAGCATGGAGGGCTTCTAGGCCATCTTCTATGGGTTCCTACCTGATGCCTCAGCAGACCCATTGAGGCCACAGGGAGCAGAGGATAAAACCGTGGTTTGAGCCAGGCCTTCTCCACCCGCTTGCCAGGGACAGTTGCCACCTGCTATCCACGGGTGACTTGGAACAAATCCACAGCCCTGGGCCCTTCCCCCATCACTGTTCCCCCTTTAGGGTGCTTCCTGGGGGTCAGGGGCGCCTGGTGGCTGACATGTGCACATGTGTGTCTCCCTTCCTCGCAGCTGGCTCTGGACTATGGAATTAAGTTCATGGAGACCAGCGCGAAAGCCAACATCAACGTGGAGAACGTGAGTCCCAGGACCACAGCATCGGCCCCTTCGGCCTGAGGGTCTGGTTGCACCCTCCAGAGAGGCTCTGCCACAGGGACTGGCCACAGGCTCTGGGCTGCTCTATCTGCCATTTGTCCAACGGGCACTTCCTGGGCAGGGCTGTGTGTGAGGCCCCGGTGGCCCGGGGGTAAATTGCCCCCGTATTCTGATGTCAGCAGGTTCGGCCCCCAGTTAGACACCTAGGACATTGTCTCACTGGCTCTCAGGGAGCCCTGGGAAGCAGGCAGGTTTTGCAGATGTTGAAACTGAGTCTCAGAGAGTCCCAGCTGGCTGCTACCCAGGCCCAGCTCCACGTTGGTGCTCTTGGCCATGCCACCCACACAGACAGGTCCTGGTCACGAGGCCAGATGGAGTAGGGAGTGCTGACCAAGCCTTGGTTCAGGCTGCCTTCTCCTCCCCATAGGTGATGCCAGCCTTGCAGCCGACCCACCTTCCCCTCCATCCTACCGCCCCAGTGATCTTTCCAAAACAGATTATCCATGTTGCCCCTGGCCTTAACCCCTTACTCTTAGCTCAAGAGGTCCTCTTTAGCCAGCCCCAACTGATTTGTGCCACACACAGATCAGGCCTTGCCCACCACTGTCCATGCCAGGCCACCTCTAAGCCTTTGCTTACAGTCTCTTCCCTCACAGCCCTTTTTCCATCAGGGCCCGGCCTAAGTGGCCCTTCCCCAAGGGAGCCTCGACCATTCCCAGACCCTTAGGCCTACTGCTTTGGATCCCCAGCACCCTAAGCCCCACTCCATGACAGAACTTTTTGTGTCACCTGGGTGTTTGCTGAAAGAATAGACGAGGGAAGGGAGGAAAGGGTGAAGAGGCTGTGACAGAGGCAGCAGCCTGGGATCAGGCCAGCTCGAGCCTCTGCCATCCCTAAAAGGACCTTTTCACCCCATTCTGGCCTTTCCACACCTTCGCCTGGCAAGAACCCAAAATGAAACTTGTTTGGCCAAAGAGCCGCTTGTCTCACTCTGCTCTGTCCCCCACCATCAAAAAAGGGGCAAAGCGGGCAGACAGGAGTGAGGGATGGGTTCTCTTCCTGGATCCTTCCATATTGGTTGTTTAACCACTGGGCACCTTGGGACAAGTCACTTAGCCCCTCTGAGCCTCAGTTTTCTCTCTGACTAGTCAAGGGTGATCCCACCTGCCAGGGTTGTGGGCTCCAGGGAAGTGGTGGTCTTGGTGGGCAGGGGTGGGAGATAGGGCTGGACAGGTGAGACCCTTGCCCACCCCGCTGTCCCATTCCACACGGGCGCTGAGGAACCAGCGGGTACCCATCTGCTTTCCACTGCTGGAATGCTAACAACATCCTTATTCCACAGGCATTTTTCACTCTTGCCAGAGACATCAAAGCAAAAATGGACAAAAAATTGGTGAGTATGCTTCCTGACCCCCACATGGTTCCCTCTTGGAGCCTGCCATCTTCTGCCTCAGTGGTGTGACACAGCCCTGGGCAGATCCTGCGTTTCAGGGCCCAGCTGGACCCAGCAGGGCATGGCTAGGAAGAGGGAAGAGGTAGCAGATGTAGTAGGGGCATCAGCCACTGGACACACTCATTTGCTTCGTTCTTCTTCATGGCCCCGAGCTGCTCAGC